AACAGTGAACATTGAGTTGGCTTACTCACCTTCTCCATTTCTCTTTGCTTTCCTTTTAACGCTTTGTATTCTCATGTTTGTTTACACGAACAATCACCTTAAATAACCTTTTCCATCTGAATCCGCTTCTTATTACAACCACCGTCACGCAAACGAGGTTTACCTGAGTATATCATATACAGAAATACAAGGGAAGATTTATTTCATAGCCTATTTGACTATTCGTGCAAAGTGGATCATGGGTCATCATTAAAGTAGTCAGTTCTACATCTAATTTATCATGAAGTTGTTGTTGTTGTTGTTGAAACGCAAAGTGTTTGAATTTCTTTCATCAAATAGTTTAACACCTAATCTATCTAGATGCTTGAAAAACTACACAACTGAATTACAGAATGATAATTCTTTGCTTTCTTATTCTCTTTTTTCTTAAATAAGGGATTAATTACTTGACCTTAACACTTCAATTAGCGGAGATCTATTTGTTTTCAACAAGTGAATATTGAACTGCAGCAAAAATTTATTATTGAACAAGTAGGCTGTTCATAAATAATTTAGTAAAGTAATTATTATTACTATTAATATTATTATTCTAACTAATAAGGTCAAGATAAGATTCTTGAACTGATATGGCATTTTTGGTTACATGCAAAATTATAATTATCAGTTGGATGCAATTATTTTATTTTATTCATGAATAAAATACAGAATGATAATTTCTAATTGAAACAATGAAAAAATAAGCACATCGTAGATTGTGATTATTTAGGTGAAATAATGGAGAGATTATGAATTAGTCATTGTTATACTACTATTACAAACCTGGAAGAACTAGGTGGCTGTTTCATTCTAGTATAAGACTCTTCAGCAGTGAGCAACCACAATCTCCACGTGAGGAAATCGAACCTAGAACCTTTGGCCCTTAACTCCATGATTATTAAATGAGAAATTATAGAAGTTGTCGAAACTTCATTGTTTAAAATCAGTTAGATTATAGTTGAAAACCTGGAGGGGTTAAAGGAATGTGTTAGCCCTTTTTCAGTAGTTCGAAGTTTTTCGATAGTGGTCTTAAAATGATCGATACAATCTTCACAACCCAATGTTGTCATTGATTATGGTGACCAGCTTTGTCAGGAAATTATCGGAGTCATAATAAGAAGTCATGACTGACTGAGTTCATTGTTAGATAGTTACTTACCTAAGACAATCGATGAGGTCACATAATATCGTGGGTTTATTGGGCTAATATATTGACACTGTTGAATGGTTAACAGGTTAAGCATTTATGCAAGACTGAGGTACCTGAGTTTGGGTTTTGCTCGCGATTTCTTGGATGTGAACTTTTGATAAGTCCAATACAGAGGTAGAATGGTTATCCGTTGCCTACAGGTTTTCATTGGTGGTCCACAGTTGATCAGTTTATGATCTGGATGGAATTAGAAAAATTTTAGAATTTTCTTTGTTTCAAAGGATGAACTGTACTTATTTAGACTATTATGAACAACTGGAAACATAAGTGAACCGTTTTTGTCCTAGTAGAGAACTTCCTAGCAATGCTTATCCACGATTCGGAATTACATCTTGGCGCAGCATTCAAGACCACTCTAGCTGATATTGGTCTCCTCTAAAAGGGATCGTATACTAGGATTCATATACTAGGACAAAATATCTGTTCAATGTCACCTGGATTTCAGTGTGTGACAGTGAAGCAGCATTAGAGGATGCAGATTTATGGTAACAATAGATTCACACTCCGTTCGCTCCCCAAGATCTTGGATCTATTGTACATAGATATAAGTAAATCATTACATCAGTTAATTTGAAAACTTAAAAACACAATAGAATCGTAAAAGCATCGAAACTGTTAACTTCTCTGTTAAACAGACCTAACTCCTATTGATTTTCAAATATAATCTAATTTAGTCAATTTGATGTATACATCACTTCAATCCTGGTAGGAATCTATTCTTTACCTATATATAAATAAATTAGGTCTTATTGACAGGAAATATTGTCAGGCACATCAGAATGTTTGTTGTTCACTGCATTTATCGTAAAACATTAGAAAAACCTAAGTTTCTCATTAGTTAACAGCGACCACGGGATGGTGTAACATTGGAATCGGTAGAATTCCACTGAGGGCTAAACACATAACACTGGATTGTAAAACTCATAACTTCTCGAATAAAATATATTATTTGCTGAGTAATTACTGTCATAAATTGAGACAATCGCAAGTGCCTAAATCACAAGGTCACTTGATGACCATCAGTAATACCCTAGAGTAGGAATGCATATCATTGACGAGGTTTTTTTATAGTTAGAATTTTTCTAATGAGTTACCTTTCTTCAGAACACAGTCGCTAACCTCAAACCCAAACCTCCTCAGTTATCTGGGCTCGGAACTGGCAGTAATCCCAAAGGCTATCCAGACAGAGTTATAACTGGTGAGGAAATGGATTCGTTTAATAAAGGGATGTAATGCACGGATATATCAGTTAGTATTAATGAGTATGAATACATCGGCCAAAAATAGATCCTCTCTTCTATTCTTGCCATCTCGTTTAACTAACCATTTTAAGAGGCTATCCTATATTGATGATAAAATCTCGAACACTGCTCATCATAACACTTGAGAGAGAATTTTCACTGAGGATTTCATTACAAACATCTTATGCTATCGACAGATTTATTCAATGAATACGTCATTGCAGTATTTTTCAAATTGTTAAATAAACAAGTGAGAGTTAGAGCACTTCCATATATCAAATTCAGTCATTAAATAAACATAACAAGTGTTCAAAACAGCTCATTATTGCATAAATGTTGAACATTGGAAAAACGAATGCGCTACAAATGTACACACACACTTTCTACCGTATTTAAATAAAGAAGTTCTATATATTTTATGCTCCTTGTTTTTGCTAATTTTTCTCTGTAAGCATAAATACGAAGAAGTTTTCGCTTTTTTTAATTCAATGTCAATAAAATGTGTGTAAGCAAATGTAGGAAAACATATGTCACAGATTGACAAAAAAGGGATGTAGGCATTTTATAGGTAGATATATATATCTATATATATATATACATCATTCAACATATGTCTATTGTATCCTATTTGAATAAGAATCAACACGTTGTTTGCAGACAAAAACAGATTCATCAAAAATAAACAAACATTTTTAGTTTTATTCAGTGAATTAAACAGATGAGACTGGGGAGGGGGACAAAGAATTGGAATAAGGCATGATAGATGAAATGATTTGTGTACTCAATATTAGTGGTAATGTTTGATTAGTTAAAACGTTTAAACATATCCAACTTCAATTTAAATATATATATATATTTTATGATAAATGTTTACTGAACTTAATATTTACACTAGATTTATTTGATTGGAATAATGTAAAGATTAGTGTTAAATCACATAAGAAAACTCGAAAGTAATGGACATTCGTTACGTTTTAGTGTAATTTTAATTTAGGAATGGTAATTTAATTAGAGAATATACAGTTAACCAACAAAATATGTAAGCTGAATCTTCAAACGCCTGTCTGATTGTCCTGTTTTATAGATCTCATAGTATTCAAAACCCTTCCTCTTTTTTTCTGGTGATTGACTGGATTAAGAAAACGTCAACATCTAGGAAGAAGCACAGGATATAGTGAATAACTACGATGTGGCTGAACGATATAGACTTCGTAAATGATCCAGCTCTTCTGTACCAAACGCAACAACAAATACAAGAAAAGACGACCTGCATCACGGAAAAGCGAGATTCTGAAACTAATGTTCACCCAGGATGTGGCCAGCGTTGTCCTGCATGCTAGATTGGTGACAGTATTTTGTAGGATACTCTTCGTAGCCAATCTTGCGTTGACTTTCTCGAGTCGAGTCATCTCAAACAAAGGATAAGTTAACTCGGTCGGCCTCCTCAATGTGCCTCTACAAATACAACTGCTCTTGTGCAGAGAGCTATATCGATCCTACTACCAGGCAACTTAACCAACGAATGAGTGAATATCTCCTAGCATGGTTTAGAAAAGACCAGATAAAGACAGTACGTAGCTCTATCTTGTCACACCTGATTGATGGCAGTAATATTTTAGCAAAATCTGAATCATTTTAAGTGATCTATCGTATACATCCACCATTTCCCAACTGCTTTCGATTCCGTCTCCTACACAAGCCATAGGAATTCGTACATCCAATCCCAATTAATGTGTTGAGAAGAAATTCATGCCATCCTTATCCCTTCCTTGGCCGGAAGTAACTTGTTAAATGATTTTAATTTTTTTCAGATCTTATATTTGTATATTAATTACCGACTGTTTCCGTCTATATTATTGACACTTCTTATTAAGTAATTCTAAAAGTACTTTGTGATTATCATTTCTTAAGTTTATTTATCCAACCAAGTTTGACCTACGACTAATTCCAATGCTGAACTATTGACAAAAAATTTTGTTATTGCATTTTATTATTCTTACAACTACCAACCAGTAGAACACCTCTCTTCCATACTATCAACTTGAAGTTACATAAATCTATTTCATTGGGATCAGTGACTTAGAACAAATTACTTTGACTGGTTTAATTACTTACTTACTAACTTACTTACGCCTGTTACCCCCAATGGAGCATCGGACGCCCACCAGTTTTCTCCAACCAACTCTGTCCTGGGCATCCCTCTCCAGTTCTGTCCAATGTGTGTTCAGTGCTCTCATATCTTTCTCTATTTCTCGGTGTAATGTGTTCCTTGGCCTTCCTCTTTTCCTTTTGCCTTGAGGGCCATGTGAGGGCTTGTCTTGTGACTCAGTCAGGTGCTTTTCATAGTGTATGTCCTATCCACTTCCACCACTTCTTCCTGACTTCCTCCTCCATTGGAATCTGGTCTGTTGATTGGTTTACATATTTTTATAAATATTCGCTTATCTATCTATCTACATTGTTCTAGCTATTCACAAATGATAATCTCTAATAATTATTTCTTCATATTTCAGATTCAATCGTGTCTTTGTTTCATTATCCAATGAAATCTAACTAACTAACTAACTAAAAATGGATGCTGAAAATCGAGTAATTTTAAATGTTGGCGGAATTCGTCATGAAACTTACAAAGCAACATTGAAAAAAATACCAGCTACACGTTTGTCAAAATTAACTGAAGCATTAGCTAATTACGATCCAATATTGAATGAATATTTTTATGACCGTCATCCGGGTGTATTTTCACAAATTTTAAATTATTATCGTACTGGCAAATTACATTATCCTGTTGATGTATGTGGACCATTGTTTGAAGAAGAATTAGAATTTTGGGGTTTAGATGCGAATCAAGTAAGAATTTGTTTTTTTTATGTTTTGATTATTGCTTTTACTGTTGTAATTTTAATCATGAAACAATAATTGTTGCTAGACTATCATTAGAAATTATGGTCATGGTTAGACCAAAAACAGAAACCAGGAAGCACTGGATGGCCGTTTCATACTAGAATAGAACTCATCAACAAGGCCCATCCGCGACCCTTGCTCGCTAAAATCGAATACAGAGCCTTCGGTTTTGCGCGCGAATGCTTAGCATCTAGACCAATGAGTTAGCTTTGAACAGTGTTACTGTCTAACTTCGATCGATCTAAGGGTTTTTCGCAACATCACTCATTGTCTTCGGTAATAACTGCCTACATCCGATTGTGTTGAACTCCATTGGCCATGGGTTCTCAATAGAATAATTGATTCATAATTTGAATAAAACTCAATACTCTCCATAACCCTATACTGAAAAACATATAAATAAAAACCTGGATTCAATGGACGGCTGTTTCGTCCTAATACAGGACTCGTCAGAAGTGCGCATCCACAACCTCCTCATGTACAAATAATACATTAAACTCTGAAGAGGGTGTTTCATTCAATCTTTTTAATCCATGAATTAGTAATGAACAAAACAGCCTTCATGAACGATTCTATCGATCTTAAATTTTATTGTGGAATCAAACAATAGTGAATTTTATTTTTAGAAAAGCTATTTTACGAGGTAGGATTATTAATTCAATGACAAACCCTTCTTTTTTTTATACCTGAAAGGGTTTCAGTTAAGAAGTCTCTGATGATTTATTTGCAAATTGTGAAAATAATGTTAACAGTTGAAAGACTGGTTGTTTTTAATGAAATAAAATAATTTGAGTAAGTTGCGTCAAAACAATGGGATTCATCTGTCTAGAAAATGACATGAATTGAGGCATTACATTTTATAACGCTACAAATGTATAAATTTGACAGAAAACAAATGAAATAATAGTTAGCAGATGTACACAGATCAAGCAAACATAAAAATACACATAAATATGATTAACATAGTCATCGCGCTGGTATTAGGTTAAATTTCCGGATTTAGGGTTGTAGATGCTCACTACTGAGATGTCTGATACTAGATTGAAAAGATCGTCTAGTGTTCCCGGTTTTTTGATGGTAACATAACTAAAATCAGTCGGCTCACTAGCGACTAGCTTCAAGATGTGATATTTTGAGTTCTGATGAGAAGCTGTGACTAGTGGAGTTGAACTACGTTGGGTATGAAACACTTATTCACTGTAGGCAATGAAAGATGGTTGCTCTTCACTGCGATCTAAGTAAATTTTGACGAACACCTTTGAATTCTCTTTCAGTGATCCATCAGTTGTTTTTAGTAGGTAACTGTCTTAAAATTTGCACGGTTGAACTTTACTGCTCATGGCTTCGATGAAACCCATCTGTCTTCACAATCCTATTCTGATACTTAACTAACTTCATGAGTCAGTTCTCAAAGGACATCTTTCACCCTAAACTTTCTTATCATGACCTTAAAACACCGGTCAAAAACAATTTTAGGAACCTTAGATACCTATCTGATTTGTCAGAACCATTTAGCAAGATTCAGATAAATTCAATTCATACTAACTAATGTGTTGTGGTGTTTTTTAGTTGTACAGCCAGTTTAAGCTAACGAACACTTTCATCGATTTACTGAGTGAGTGAAATTTGTTTAAGCTTTTTTTTTAGTGGTTGCTTTAAATTCAAAATAGGTCTCACCACTTAAGTCGCCCAAGATCTGATACCGATATTTACGAACAGTTAAATATGTTATGAAATACAGCTTTTCCTTTCATTTCCATATGTCATACTTAGGTGAAGGCCGTTTCTGAGACGGCTTTCATTATTAACTGCATGCGTATTCAACTGAATGAATTTGTTTTCATTCAATCGCTTATATTGGCAGACATGATAAAAAGTGAGAAAGCAAATCGAAATGAAATGAAGTAGGCGAATGAGCCAACTCAATTCGACGAAACACTACTAAGTATGTATAGTCATAAAAAAATATGCGAGTCATTTCATAAGCTAAGTACACATGCACACACAGATACTCGATTAGAAATAACGAAGATATGAGTGAATGATTGACAAGATTGAAAGACGTTAATCGTTTGTCCAAAAGCTAAGACAAGCCCTAAAGGACTCGAATATTAGTACACGCACTATACTTTCTAACATTATTGCTTCCTTTTTCTTCAAAACTATCTATATTAGCAAAACTTGAAAAAATGTTTAAAAACTCGTTACAGTTTTCCTTATCTAATCTCTACGTTAAAACTCTAACCGAATTAGTTTGCGCAGTGGGAAAACAAGTGAAGGGGAAATTTGTATTTCACAAATTTCAGATATCAAATAATGTGAACTTATCTGTCTAACTGATACAAATTTTAAACTTTATCACGACATTTATTAAATGGATACACATGAATTAGTCTGTGACTTAACATCAGACAAGAGTGTAGGATGTAATGCTGATACCATGACCTCTTGACTTTAAATGGAGATGGTCGAAGTTCGTTATTTCGGTTAATCATATCAACTCCAACTGGTTGGTAAACTGTTTTTAAATTCTCTTATACCAGGTAGTGTTGTTGGAGTTCGGTAAGACTAAATGTAGAAAACTACACAATCTACAAGAATTCGATGGCAAGATGGTGTTTCTCTCAGACAGCCCTATGAGTATCATACCCCACTCTTCTCACAGGTTTCAGTCGCAAAGGCAGTAAAGTCTTGAAATTCTGGAGCTAACTCATCTGAAACTATTCACAAAATTGCTACGAGTGACTTGGTATAAACAGTTGTCTCTTAAGCGCTGAGATCTTGCTCCCAGGTTGCTTTCACTACTCTTAGTCAAGTCTGTTTTTGAAGTTCTTCGAATTAAACTATCTTTTCACAGTTTATGGAACTACAATGTAGTGACAAAAACCCTCATACTTTTAACAGTACTCGCAATCATCTCATTTACAATAAGACCTTACATTCGTTATCTACTATTCCTACTATTTTCTGTACAAACCAGCGTTTCAAATTGTTTCCAAATCAGTTTATCTTCTACTTTGAAGAATATTTCTTTCATTATGGTGATTTTTATTTGCGTATAAAGTTATAAGTAGGATTCATGTTTTTTTAGACTATACCAATCATTAGTTGTAAACAAAGTATTTATCATATAGATTTCTAAAATCATGAACCAATGATTGTTAGACCACTAGTAGAGACCTAAACGTAGTGTAATGAAGGACGTTTCATCCTGGTATAGGACTCATCACATCCTTGACTCCTGTTGCTAGTGGAACTTGAACCCAGGAACTTGATGTTGCGCTCGAACGCCTAACCTTTGGTCCACTAGGCCAGCATCCAACGGTGTTAATCTAGGGAATGAGTAACTGAGTAAATTAACACTGTTTGGTGACAGTGTGAAGTTATGAATCTAATATTTAAACAATTTTTTATTCATCATCAAACTGTATCTACAACTTGATCAAGATTATAGTAGAACTTGAGAGTTGAATCTGTGCCACCTGGTATGATAGTCGTACATATTTTTATTTAGCTAATTCGCAGTAAAATTAACTTTTTATGAGTCTTCGTTGCACTCACCTTTTGATTACATAATAGTATTAAATATCTTGTTTCATAGTTATCAGTTGTATGACAGTTAATGACTTTGAATCATTGCTAAAGATCATAGTGGCTGATTAATGCCAACTGTTTGATCGTAAGGAAACTCACGTACGCGCAAGTTTGAATCCCTTAACGAGTATTAGTTTCTCCTAGATTTCAACTCTTACTGACAAGTGACATTTCTTACGAAACCTAAATTCAACTATCTGCTCAACCATATAGAGCATCATTGTCCCATCTATCAAAAGATCTCTATAAAACTGGTTAAAGAACCAATATACAAATCGTTTTACAGTCCAGTAAATCTTTTTATGTTTTCGAAATTCAGGATACGCAAATCAAATTATCCAGTAATTGTTTTCTACATCAGGAGAAAAAGGAAATATGACTTGGTTTGTTAGTTCAATCGACCAAAATATGTTCTCTTTAAATACTGATCATAAAATTGCAGTGGCGTAGGTGCAGCCACTCTTGATATTTTCTCAAATTTTAACCTTCTGAATTCTTCATCACCTCTACCTTCTCTTTTTGAATTTGTCTCATTGAATTTTACTTCTTGAATAATCTCTTAGTACCCTGGTCTTCTCCATTACCACTAATACTTCTACAATCTTCACCGCTATGGGATTTGGACTGACAATCCGGTCTTTGTGCTAATATGGTATGAGAACATAAACTTATGTGTGTACATACAAAGTTCTACATTGTAACTGACTGACTGACTGACTAAGTTTGGCTAACGAATCCGAAGTATTTTGCGTAGACAACCATTATTAAACATTTGTATCTTGTGGATAATGGCTTTCGTAGTTCTCCAAGTTTTCAGTCCTGACAGTAGATCTTTCTTAACGTTCGTAGAGGACATTTCGCCTTCAGTAGTAAAAATAAATTATTATTTGAACAAGTATATGAAGTAAGATAATTAGATAGAATAAATCAACATTAAACTTGTTGCTTTTTTTCAAAAATTCCACTAGTTAATCGATCAGTTAAAGATTTGAAAAAAAACGCTAAAAATTAGTTTATTCAACAACAACAACATGAAATTACAAAAATTTGTGTAATTTTGTTTTAATAAATTGACAGGATTTCGTCATTGTCTTTTCTTCATCAAATTATATTACGTATTTTTATTGTAAAAAAAAATAAATCAACGGAAATATACCACTAATCTAGTGTACTACGCATTGTACAGTGTTTCGTAAAGAATGTTAAAGATACCATTTTGAATTTTATTTCGTTGTGTGTTAATTATGCGCAATAACAGATAGAGAGAGAGAGTAACAGATAAAGAATCGGGGAAAAAATAAAAATGTGCATTACGAGGTTGTGAAGATTGCTAAGTTACACATTTTTAAACCATGAATCGATCAATGTTAGACCACCATTAGGAACCTGGAAGCACTAGAAGGCCGTTTCGCCCTGGCATGGGACTCATCAGCAGGGCGCATCCACGACTCCTGCACCCCGCATGATTCGAACCCAGGACCTTCGGTATTGTGCGCGAACGCCTAACCTCTAGACCACTGAGCCGGTATCTAATGGTGTTAATGTCTAACTTGATCAATTCATGGTTTCAAAATGTGAAAAATGAAATGTGTTGGTCAGTTGGTGAAGATTCTCATCATCAGTTGTTTTGAAATAACTAATAGAAATTTAAAAGAATACACGTATTATGTATAAGTTAACTACTTTGTAGTTTTTATGCAACAAAGATAACACTTTTATTGTAGTGAGACAAAGTGAATGGATGTTTATTTGTCCGTCACTATATATGTATATTGAAAGAAAAATTTTAAAATAAATGAGGACAAGTTTCTGGAGGATTAAAAAACAGAAAATTTGATGTCAAAATTACGTAATTAAGTTAAATGAGCACTGGGAGATTGAATAACTGTCTTCTATTGAAAGTAACAAGTTTATTCACAATTTCGTAATTTTGAAACCATGAATCGATCAATGTTAGACCATCTTTAGAAACCTGGAAGCGCTGAACGGCCGTTTCGTCCTGGCATGGGACTCATCAGCAGGGCGTATCCACGACTCCTGCACCCCGCATGATTCGAACCCAGGACCTTCGGTATTATGCGCGAACGCCCAACCTCTGCACCACTGAGCTGGTATTTAGCGCTTCCAGGTTTATCATGGTGGTCTAACGATGATCGATTCATGATTTCAAAATGTCTAGTTTAACAATCTTCACAACGCCGTAATGCAAGTTTGTAATTGTGATGAGCTCAGTGAAATGTAGTAAATTTGTTGTGGTCGGAGCATTGTTTATACATATGTGAACGACTTTGAAATACTTATACTGTAGATACTTTAGCTTATCTGGTGTGAATTTATTTTATGCATTCATTTTAAGCAGATAGACATTAGAACATGAAGAGTTAAAGCAAAGATAAGGGAAGTAGCGAAGGTGAACGGACCAACTTAATGCGATGAGGCATGACTAAGTATTTATAGCTTGACCAAAGTGAGCTTGGAATGCGATAAGTGGAGTAAGCAGCTCAAATACGTAATGAATTGAAAACAACCAAGCTACTATCGAGCAGCTGACAAAGTTAAAAGACTTACGAATAGTAATTCGAGCACAAAATTCTAATTATTCTGTCTCAAAGCTAAAGCACGCTGTGTAGGCTTAACATTCTAGTACATACACTAAACTGCTATCAAGCGGATCGGTGGATCATGAAATCGATCTAACATCTAATAAACGGCACATCAAGGCAAACAAAAGTGAACAGATTCCCTTATCATGTTAACTTGAATTGTAGTTGCCGGTTTATTTTTGAAAATGGTCACGCCGTATCGTGGATTCATTGAAGCTAGATGATAACAGCGTTGGATGCCAGTTTAATGATCTAATGTTTAAGCGACAGCACGATGAACAGAAGGTTCTGGGTTTGATTCCCGATGGTGAGGTCATGAGTGTTGACTGCTGAAGAGTCCCATATTAGGATGAAAACTTCATCCATTGCTTTCGGGATCTAATTTAAGTCGTTTCATACTTTCAATATAATCTGAATGTTTCCACAATCGCATGCTTATTAATAAAATTGTTCATCTGAAAGCACCTATTTTGGAGAAACAGAAAAGAAGTGTTCTTATTCGGAACACGCTCCAAAACAGGTAAGACTAGTGAGGTGCTATGTTTTGATCCGTAATGTTGCCTGTTCGTCTGCTTGAAAGCATACATACGTACATACATTATTCGCGATTCAAGGTCATTTATGAATAAACAATTCTCAAACCACACATAATTTACTACGTTTCACTGAGTTCATCAATATTACAAAGATTTTGACTAAACGTGCTTTATTCAAAAGAATGTGGTTATATAACTTTCACTACTCATGTAACTTTAAAGTTTCATTATTAAATTATGTAATATCTCATTGAATAATCTCATAAAAATATTTTTCATTCATGTTTAAGCTACTTTTTCAAGCTTTACTCTGTCTATCCAACCAGTTTGATAATAATTATTATGTAACTTTGATATTGATATTCAATTTCTCTAGAAATCTTTGTTGACGAATTTTAAAGTTTTGTTTAAAGAATTTTTTAATTTAGTCTAGCCTGTCTAAATTTCTTTGACGATTGTTTCTTTATTGCTTCACTAAGTTTTATTACTTACTTACTTACTTACGCCTGTTACCCCGAATGGACGACGATCTGTACTCCCCGACCTACTTTGCTTTAAATTCTACTTTAAAGTGCTTCCCAAGTTCTATGATATATGTCTCCAATTCTCAGCGTAGTGTGTTCTTTTGTCTTCTTCTTTTCCTTTAGCCTTGAGGATTCTAACTGACGGCTTGTCTATGGGGTTTTCCTCAGTTTCTGTCCTACCCACATCCGGCTCTTCTTCCTGATTTCTTCATCCTCTAGAATCTGGTTTGTTCTCTGCTACAGTAGGTTATTAATGCAAGTGTCTGGCCAGCGGGTCCGAAGTATAATAAACACTTATATCTGCTAGATGATGACTTCCGCAGTTCTTCCTCAAGCATTAGAACTGTCTTGGCATCCATGACTCCTACTACTCTTTGGATTCGAACCCAAGAACTTCTGTTTTGAGCACTAACGCTTCACCTTTGGATCATTGAGCTGACAGTCAACGGTGCTCATGCCTAACTCTGATCAATTTAAGGATTTCGCGCAACTACTTCGGTAGTTTCTGCCTAAACTCAACAGGGTTGAGTTCCACTCGTCACGTCTTCTCACCAGAACTCTGTGCATATCTTAACAAAGCTAACCACTAGTGAGCACATTTTTTGATTTCGCAATATAGTTTTGTAGAGATCGTTGTTTTTACACACTGAAATCATGAATGAATCACTGTCGGAACACCAAAGGTTCTGGGTTCGAATTCCGCGAGTAGCATAAGGCGTGAATGTGCACTTCTGATGAGTCCAACATTACTACAAAACGATCTTCCAGGTTTCTAACAGTGCTCTAATAATGATGTGTTCATTATAAACTAATATACAAAATATGATATTCCATCAATAAGTTTGGCAATAAGGATTTTGTCCTGTAAACAGACCAGTTAACCCTTGATCATCATAATATTATCCATATATATGGCAGGCCATCCAGCTGTCGATTTGATTTGTTATTTCTAAACAAAATTATGTAACAAAACTTTGTCAGTTATGTAACAGTCAAAATGTGATTGATAGTGTCATCTCTGAAAAAAAAATACTGATCTGATAAATACTTCTCTGGTGAATAGAAATAAATAATCAAAATTGTTTTAAATATCAGTAAGTATTTGAAACTAAATATATTTATCTAATGCATAGATATGTCAATATTGTTAAATAAACCGCTAAATTTCAAATGAATTCAAACAAACTGAACCAATCTAAAAATTTAACCAATTTTGAATATTGGTGATCAAAATACTTTAGTGATATTGACTGTTTTCTTTTTTTAAATTTCGCTTCGAATTTCTACGAGAATACAGAGTTTTAACTTTTCTAGTAAAAATGGATAACTGATGGGATTCGACCATGTTTAGTGTAAGTCAGTTATTCACTGTAGGTAATAAATGAAATTTACACAAACACCAAACGTTACAACCAACCCGCTTAATTCTAGTTAATACAATTATTTGAAACGATCGATTGATTTTTTTCAAATTCACCTCTTTAAAACAGCGAAAGTGTTTAACATTCGTGCAATGCAGCATGAACTTTATTAAGTTGGATGAATGCTGAAATATAGGGAACGCTGAATAGTCAGTTAACTTTTTAATTAGAATTTTGTGAACAAAGTAATACATTCTGTTTTTTAATCAGCTATTTATGAGTTAAATACTTACTTACTTACTTACTTATCTATCTACCTACATACCTGCTTACTTACTTACTTACGCCTCTTATACAAGTGGTGCATCGGACACCGAGCATCATTCTCCAGACAGCTCTTTACTATACCGTCCTTTCCAGAATATTAGGTTTTGTCAGGATTCTGGAATTATTTATCACACATGCTGGAAATCTCATAAAAATGAAAGACCCCTTCTTCCTAGTATGCTACTGTTCAGCAATACACATTCACAACACCGTACCAAGAATACAAATCAAGATCTTCGATTTCTCATGAAAACCTTTAAACTATTGAGCTGGTATTCAGTAGGGCACAACTATTTGACAGTGACATCCACTGATTTTAATCGCTTGAGTTGAACAGAGTTTGTTAGTTGAGAATAAGACTTATTCTAACAATTATTATTACGGATCAAGCTTTCTATCAATTGTCTATTACTTGCATCTCTTTTTGACATTTCAATAAAACGACGTTACAGTTTGCATTCACTACTTACATGAAATGAATCAGTTCATCAGCATAATCACATATGATCTGTTTGAGAAGAAAAAGTATTGATCGCAAATAGATTATTATTATTATTATTATTAACGCTTGAATTCACGTACCTATAATGTTCATCACTAGTCATTGATTAATAATCAACTCTAGATTTGTCTACACCTCAATGTTCATTATTGTTCTTTTATTCACTTTCTTTGTTCTATGCTTAGGTGGAACCATGTTGTTGGATGACATATACAGCACATCGTGATACACAAGCTACGCTACAAATTTTAGATAAAGTTGACATGGACAATGATGATTATACACCGGAAACTTTATATAAACGTTTCGGTTTAGAAGATGAATACACATGTAATGAATTGAATACTTGGCAAAAATATCGACCAAAAGTATGGGCATTATTTGAATTGCCACATTCATCGATTGGAGCTAAAGTGAGTAATGGATGTTAAATTGTGAAAAACTCCTCTTAAATTTAATGCTTCTTTTTATTATTGTACATTTTAGAAAATGATTGCAATGAAATTGTCCACTGATGGTATGCATCAATAGTTCAGTAGTATCGGTAATCGAATCGACATTTAGTTGTTCAAATGTTGAGCACCCCTTACCAGATCCTAGGTCCATAGGTTCAATCTACAGGAGCGTGGTGAGTACAGGTTGTTAAGGATGCCATACTAGCACGTAATAAATGTTTTATGCTTCTTAATCTTAACAAACCACTCATCATGTATACAAATACTTCTCTACATATACTTCTTCTACCTCCTTAGAAAATGAATCCATTTCTTGACCAATGATATGCGTTTATCCTTCAGGACATCTCTGATGGTCATCCAATGACCTTCTCATTTGACCACTTCTGATTGGATCACTACATTCATCACCTTATAATTATTTCAATCAATATGTTACACAAATACAAATATGTAGCGTGAGAGGGAGATATTAGGAATACTTATTGAAATAAATACATAGAAAGAATTTGTTTATTGAATATTAATAAATACACACTGTTTCCAGTGTTTGTAACAAAATATTGACATGAAAAGAAATGCTTATACTATGCCAGAAAGAATTATCATTATAAATAGTTTAAAAGAAAATATTTGAAATTGGGAATAGTGATATTAGATGTGGTCGAAAATATTGGCTCGAAGTACAACAACATCTCTGACATGAAGCTAATCTCTTTGTGTAGACTATGAAGTTGTCATATAGTTGTTAGCTGATAAATCAGTTCCCAAAGAAGAGTTTTTTATGTTTGTATCGAGTCGTGTGTTCGTTCTTTTCAAAATATATCTGGTTTTTAATCGGATTGAATTTTTGTTTAAGCTGAACGATTTCCACTGTCATTATGAATAACATCTTCAGTGATTATTTCATGCAGAAAGAAATAATCCCAACCTTATTTATAAAAAAAAATTGTAATCACTACAAGAAATACTATGTTGAACAAAGTGAATAGATGAGCAGTGGAGCGAGATGAGATGCTTTCAATTATATCGATCAATAAATGCAGACAATCATGGAAATGTATCCGACTGAGAAAATGTTCAAACTCTAATATTATCAGAGAATCAGATTAGTTCACAGCTAACAGTCATATTTACGATTCATAATTTCATTAAAACCTAACAATCTCCACAACCCTATAGTGAAAATTACCATGTGTTCATTGCCGGCTAGATTTGTGTGGAAGTATCTCTGAGTTCTAGTGAGAAGTCGTGACCGGTGGAGTTCAACTCTCTTCGAATATGAAGCATTGCTCGTTGAAGACAGTGGATGAGGTTGAGCAAGACCGTGGATTCATCGAAGTTAGATATTAACACTGTTGTGTACGGATTCAGTTGCTCAGAGGTTAAGCGTTCGCTCTCAAGACCGAAGGTCTTGGGTTCGGTAACTGTGAGTGGATATCATGGATGAACACTACCGACTAGTCCCCTACCAGAACGAAACGCCCGCTCGGTGCTTTCTAGTTTCTAATTAATATGTACGCAACCCAGATCGTAGAACTCAATCAGTCACATGGCCACAATTCAACGAGAATACAAACTTTGATGAAGGCAACAAAATCTCATCAGATATTTAATCCCAAACTAAGCTATCAGAAAGCGGGTTCTCTTCAGTTTCGGCCTTACCAGCATGTTTGGTAACAAAATTGGTGCGCGTCGGTAATCTTTATCAAATAAATTAATAGTTACATTATTCTATTCATATTATTGTAAAAGTTCATAACTGTAGATAGAAATAATTCAGTCAAGACAGATAAATTTTTCCGTTTATATAGTTAAATTATCATAGTATGTCTGGAGGATCGATTTATCGAAAAAAGGTTTTCTCGTAAATTTAAAGATCAGAGAAGAATTTAGACAGGAAAAAAATTAATAGATCATGAAAATATGTAACAGGATATAATTGATAACAGACTGAAAGACTTGATAGGGATACAAAAGGATGAGAGATTATACTTCTTGCTTTAGGTTTGAATTGGTGAAATATGAAAGCCCCCAAAGCACACACGTTTTTAATCCAACCTTCCTTTTATTCCACGCATTTCACCATGTAGAATATATTAAAATAGTCAGAATTAATGAGATTTCTCTGTTTTTTTAATTAGAGTTGTAGAGATCGTTGTTTGTACACATTAAAATCATGAATGAATCATTCTTAGACCATTATTAGAAACCTGGAAACACTGGACGGCCGTTTCGTCCCGGTATGGGACTCATATGGCCTGCGCATCCACAACTCCTGCTCCTCGCAGGATCCTACTAGCATCGTGAGGAAAGTCGCGGAGTTCTAGTGAGAAGACATGACAAGTGGAGTTCAACCCTGTCGGATGTAGGCAGTAACTAACGAAGACAAAAGGGTCAGGACGCGCAAAACCTCTAGATAGGTCAGAGTTAGATATTAAAACCTTTGGATGCAGGCCCATTCGTCCAGAGGTTAAGCGCTCACGTGCAAGATCGAAGGTCTTGGATGGTCTAACATTGATTGATTGATGATTTCAAGGCTTAAAGACTTCCCTGTATTGAGCAGCTTTTTGTTATGAACTCTCCATTTTATAAGCCAAGCCGAGATGCATTCAGTGTGTACACTTTATAAAGCCAATCTAATTTTCTTCAAAAGAAAAGGTAAACTTATAAATGCATATCCACTCAAAATGGAAGTTTACCTTTGACACGTCTGTCAAAGATAATTCGGTTGAAAAAGACAGAATAAATTGTATCGTAGTTAAGGTTATTGATTGTCTATTGGTTGAAATATTTTATTCCCTAAGACTTCAATGAAACAGTCAACAGATAGGGGTCCTAGTCTGATGAACGATGATGATGTTAAAATCAGATAGAATAATAGTATATTTGGAGAAGACAAAATTTACCAATAAAACATACACACTTTATATTTAGACTTCCATTTGTAAATTAAGCGATTCATTGAGTGTCATTTAGCACACATTTCTTAGTCTTTGAAATATTTTGATCGCGTCATTCTTTCCAATCTAACACTTTTATCTCCACTAGACACCCATAACTCTCTTTGTGTGTAGTATTTACTAAAATGTGATGTTAATGTATATTCTTTTATATCAGTCAGTCAGATGCAACGTAGAACTTCGTACGTAAGTACATCAGTTCATGTTGCCATTCTACATCAACACAGAGATATAATTGTCGATTCGAATCCAATAGTAGAAGAAGTAGTAAAGGTATTAGAAGTAATCGGAGAGGTTAGAATTAGAAGATATTATTCACGAAGTATGATTCAATGAGATAAGTTTAGAAAGTAAAAACTAGAGATGTTGAAGAATCCAGAAGATTAGGATTTGAGAGAACACAAAGAATAAATGCACTGGCGCCATTGCGAACGATTTTGAGCCATGTCATTCAAGGTCTCTAGCCATTGATTATTATCGTCTCGCGGACCCCAACCAGGTAGTCGACAATTACAGACATGGCTAAGTCCACTCGTCAATGACTTCATGGATTTCTGCCATAATTTGGTCTGGCCGCCCCTAGCTTTCTTCCAACCTATTCCTACACTACAAATCAAAGCTCATGGAGGCAGTCGGTGGTTAGACATACGCAGAACATGTCCCAACCACCTCAACTGATGAAGTTTCATTACTTCATCTATTGATCTGCCATTCTTACTCAGCACCCGTTTCCTAATAACAGCGTTGCTCACTTGGGTGTCCCAGGATATACGAGCAATGTTTCGAAGACACCTATGATCCAAAACCAGTAACCTACAAATATCTTCTACTCTCACTGGCCATGTTTTACAGCCATAAAGTAAGACGGAGCGAACCACTGCACAGTACACTCGTCCTTTAGTCAGCAAACGGATATCTCGCCTACGCCATAAGTGACGCAGGTTGGCAAAAGCCAATCGAGCCTTCTGTATCCGTGCTGACATTTCGTCAGTAAAAGGCCGCCCGAAAGTAGCGGATGTGTCATGCCTCAGGAGAGTGGGCATCAGATGCCCTGTCCGACCTTGTGTAGGGGACTGCCAACCATCTCTCGTTTTCTGATGCACAACAGTAGGCAACTGTTCAGACTCATCAAGGAAACTTGTATTAGGAACCCAAGTGTGAGTTAGACTATTTCGGAAAAGGATGGTCTTATTATCCATTCTTATATATATTCGACCAAAAGTTCTAGTCTCGATTTTCTCATGTGCAGAATCATAGATGCACATTATTGAGCAATCTAATAGTTTTATTCAAAACAGTAGTACTTCTAGTTAATGAATGATAACGTACGTCACTTTGATCAGTTTTCTTTTTAGTTCTATGCGATTCATCTGTGTATTGTTCAATATTTATTGATAAATTATTAATCAGAAAGAATAACTTACTTTTTTTACTAATTGTTCGCTTCATATTTTTTGTTTTAACTCATATCATTTTGTTTTCCGTTCTACTTATTTTCTCTGTTTTTTTTCATAGTTTATCGCACTGTTATCTGTCACATGTATAATTCTTTCAATATTAGCTTATTGTATGGATACATCACCTATATTCTCTACACCATCAATTCGTACAGAATTGATAAATGAGACAGACACTGCCGATACAACTACTAACACTTTTATCAGTAGTATGCCGCCGCCAAATGATCAAATTCATGTCATGACACCATCACCGAATCATCATCATATAACTTATTCATCAAAACAATATACAAATAATAAATCGTATACATTTTTAAAAAAAAATTATTCCATTTATCATCAGGATTATTCAATTTTTGTTAAAAATAAAAATAATTTACAAAAGAAAAATATTATATTTATGTACATTGAATCAATATGTAATTTATGGTTTACATTGGAATTATTAATACGTTTCATTGTTTCAATGGATCATAAAGAGTTTGTGAAAAATTTAATTAATCTTATTGATATTGCAGCATTGTTAAGTTTTTATACAGAGACATTTTTATTATACTACTATTATTATTATTATACTGATGAAGAAGATCATTATGACAATGTGATCAATTTCTCATTTATTTCGATTATAGAATTTTTCAGTATATTACGTGTTATGCGTCTATTCAAATTGACACGACATATATCTGGTTTGAAAATTTTAATTTTAACATTTAAAGCCAGCGCGAAGGAATTTTCTTTGTTGATATTTTTTTTGGCTGTATTTATTGTATTGTTTGCGGCATTGATTTATTATGCAGAACGGTTAAGTACCAACACGAGGAATGATTTCACGTCGATACCGATTGGTTTATGGTGGGCTATTGTAACAATGACTACAGTTGGATATGGTGATATGGTGCCTAGATCATATGCTGGTAAGTGAGAAGATAGTGAAGTGATTTTTTTTTTAAATACATAAATATGAATAGCTGTTCTAATTGGGTGATTGAGTTTACACTTCCATTGTACACTGACAGACAGAGACTAGATCATGTTTGTCTAGATACATGAATCATGACCGAAATAGCGAACCAAAGTAAGAGATAAACAATTACAGGCAGTCAGAACCAGAGATTTCGGAGTAGAAATCAATAACAGGGAAAAGACTTACTTACTTACTTACTTACGCCTGTTACCCCCAATCGAGCATAGGCCGCCCACTAGTTTCCTCCAACCAACTCTGTCCTGGGCTTCCCTTTACAGTTCTGTCCAATTTTTGTTCATTCCTCTCATATCTTTCTCTATTTCTCGGCGTAGTGTGTTCCTTGGGCTGCCTCTTTCCCTTTTGCCTTGAGGGTTCCATGTGAGGGCTTGTCTTGTGACACAGTTGGGTGCTTTTCGTAATGTATGTATTATCCACTTCCACCACTTCTTACTGATTTTCTCCTCCACTGGAATCTGGTTTGTTCTCTCCCACAGTAGGTTGTTGCTGATGGTGTCTGGCCAACCAATCCGAAGTATTTCGCGTAGACAACTGTTAATAAACACTTGTATCTTCTGGATGATGGCTTTGGTAGTTCTCCAGGTTTCCGCCCCATACATCGAAACTGTCTTGAAACAGGGAAAGGAGCCACCTAATAAATAGTTAATAGTCTGCGTCCGTTTGTCCACGCTCAATGATCGATCACTTCTCTACTGAAGAAAAGATTGTCGGAGCTATCAAAGTGTTCTGAAGACTAGAAGATATATGGAGTAAGACAGCCGATAATTCGCTTGTATTGTGAATGGAAGGAAGTCTTTAGATAAGGTTTATGTATACTTTCTTTGTGAGTAAATTGTATTTTCTATCTGGTCTTGAAGACGTCGTTCACTACACGTCGTGTCTAACCCTTGCAAATGGATTATTTTAAGTAAGAAAGAAAGAGTATCGAAGAGCAAGTCTATTTGACTACCAAATCAACACTCATTTATGTTGAGATAATTACTCCTTCTCCTTTGAGAAATGAATCCATTTCTTGGCCAATGAATAATATGTATTCGTCCTTTAGCACATTTCTGACTGTCATCAAGTGACCAAATGATTCAGGCACTTGATTGGCTCACTACATTAGTTGTCAGTAAATTTGTTCAGAATCAATCATAAAAACGATTTCATGTCAAATATTAGTTTCTTTTCCTTTCTCCTTAATCTGAAGTGATTAGAAAAGTTTCCTTTAGAAGAAGTACTTTTTCGTATTTTTTTCACCGATTTGCGCTGTCTGCAACGGTTATAATGGTAGCTTCATTAAAAAATGAGACAATCATATTATTCTCATCAAAAGTACGCTTCATTCAACTTTGTAAGTGTTAGGCATGATCATTAAGATGTTAGGGATGTTAGATCCCCAGAACTCGCCTGTTAAATGTCAAGGCTTCTCACGAGAACTCCGAAAATTTCTTCACGAAGCTAATTACTAGTGAGAGAATTTTTTGATGCACACAGTTGATGAGTCCCATACTAGGATAAAATGCCCATCCAGTGCTTCTAGGTTTCTCTAGTGGTGGTCTAACATTAAACGATTCGTTATTTCAATGAAACTTAGCCATTTCTATAACTCTATACTGAAAATAATGAAGTAATGTTTTACTTTCAACCAGTATTTATATACAATGGTTTTCTTTAATAATGCTGGGCTATTTACAGTTGTAAGTTGCTATCTGATCAGTATACTTTCCAGTCTAAACATGGGTAAATGATTTGTCTGATTATATTTTGGATTGAATCTTAATTTATCTCTTCACTGAATAACTCAATGAATAAGATATTCACTGACAAGATGTTGAGTTCGAGTCCTGGTGATGACATCTACACTCGCGATTTAAATACATATATATGAATTGACGATTTCTGAATACTATAAAATACAGATCCTAGATTATACAGTTAACTATATTATCATATTTTCTTGTATTTTGTTTAACTGAATCAAAAAATATCTAAGAAATGAAGAAATAACCCCTTTTTTAGATTCCACTTTAGTCGTGCTAACTTTTACTTGAATGTCATTTGTCTTTTCTTTTTAAATAAATCAATATTAGTAAAACAAAAAGAAATTAATGAAAGAAGATTTATTTTTCTTTCATTATAAATCAACTCAAATGATTAGAAAAATAAATTTTTCTTCTTAAAATTGATTGTTGAAAAATGAAACTTTAGGCGCCTATTTTATTCACTTGTATCACAAACACGTACACACACACACACACTGAACCATTTTCAAAACGAAAATATTTAGTTTTGATCAAAGCAAAACCGATGGACAATACTGTTACTTCTGCTCAAATTAAATTACTCATACCTATAACAGCAACAGTGAAACATCGAGCTGATATTCGTTAAACTGTTAACAGAAATGGTCAATATAACATGTAGATTATGTCTTACGCCTGTTATCCTTAATAAAGTATTGGCGAACGACCTGTATTCATAAACCTACAATGTCCTTGGCCTTCCTTTCCAGTTCTATCCAACTTTTTTCCATTCTTCTAATGTCTGTCTGCATTACTTGGCGTAATGTGTTCTTTAGTTTTCCTCTTTTCCTTAGGGCCGTGAAGATTGAAAGTGAGGGCTTGCCTCGTGATGCATTTGGGTGATTTCCTCGATGTGTTTCCTATGCGCCTCTAGCTCTTTTTCGCAATTTGTTCTCTTGTTGGAATTTGGTTGGTTCTTCACCACAATAAGGGTTGTTGCTGGTGCTGTCTGACCAACGGATTCGGAGTATCTTAAATAGATGACTGATAATAAACACTTGTAATTTATGAATTGTTGCTGTCGTCATTCTTTGGCTTGTCGCTTCATACAGCAGAACTATCTGGATGTTTGTATTGAAAGTTCATATTTTGATGTTGATTGATAGTTGTTTTTTAGTTTTAGATATTCCTCGACTATAGGAATGCAGTCCTTTTAGGTCAACTGGTGTCTTTACATCGGCATCAGTTTTACCTTGTTCATCAGTGATGCTACACAGGTATGTAATGTTTTTCACTAGTTTTGAAGCTTCTAAATTAAGAGTGATCTGATTAGCGTATGCAGTGCTGAATACGAGGATCTCGCTTTTCCCTGGTATATGTTAAAGCCTGCTGCTGCAAAGGTTGCTGCCACATTTGTCCTACTCTCCTTTATGTCGGATAGAAGAGGTAGATTGTTCGTGAGGTCCAAATCGTCTAGGTGCATCTGATCTGTCTACATTATTCTGTGCTGCTCTTTAGATTTTAACATTTTATTAATCCAGTTAACCATCAGCAGAAGGATGGTAGGTAAGAGTAAGCAACCTTGCCTGACATCCGTCTTCACTGGAACTTATATTGACATATATACATATACATATTCGATTGACAGTTTGGCATTTATCCGGTGATATCATTGATGTTGAATTGACTGAATTTGGAAACCTGAACTTCTACACTATGGTGCTACAGTAATTCTCTTCATTTGTGCAGAATTATAGGCCCTAGATTCCATCGTTTTACTATGGCCACACTTGGAATAGCATATTCATCTGTGCACTACACCCCCATTTTACACTGTTTCCACTATTTTGATCTTAGTGCTTGACGAAAATTCCACTTCATCAAATCTCCACATTTCTTTCAAACTAAACCTCCTTTATTAAGCCATGAATTCGCTTGAACTTAGTTTATCAACGAGACCAAGATTTCTGAAATCTTGGCAAATCTCTAGTCTAAACTTTTCAATTTAATCATTTCAAACTCACATGGTGGTTTAATAAAACAAAAATATTCACTATACAGTTGTGAATATTGTTGAGTTTCCAAAGAAATCATGAACCGGTCTAATTTAACCATCACTGGAAATGTAAAGGAATTCAATGACCGTTTTATATCAGTAGGAGGATCCTCAAAAGGTTCTGGGTTCGATTTCTGCAGGTAGAGTCGTGGATGCATACTGCTGAACAGTCCGATACTAGGATAAAACAACCATCCAGTGCATCAAAGTTTTCATTAATGATCTATCATTGATCGGTCAATGATTTGAAAATTATTCTGCTCAATATTCAATTTCGTAATCAACTAATCTCATTCTTTTAGTCTAACTAAATTTGGTCAATTCGGTTGACTGATTTTTCTCTTTCCTAAAAAATTATGCTTGAATTGTAATCAATGATAAATTGTGATAAATTAGCATTTCGGTTCTATAGAAAAAAAATTCACTACGTATTTATAGAAAAAATACGAGTTGAATTACATTTTTTTTTAAATCGTTTTTATCTTTGGCTATATTTATATCTAGTCTAGAACTCATATTGATTATCAGTTGTTTGTAAGTTTACAGAATTGATAAAGAAATAGGTTTTGCTACTTATTTCATAGTAAGTAGTATATAAAATTTTGTTCTAAAATGAAACATTTTGGTTGGGAAAAAGTTTTTCGTTTTGTGTATTATGATATATTTGTAGTCACAGTGTTCAGCGAAATCATATTACAAGTCAATCAAAACATTATGCCAGTTGAATATACTTATTCCACTGATGACTTTAGAACAAAACACTTGAACTACAATTCACAGGTTAACAATACATGAACATTGATTGGTGATTTTAAATGTGTAAAAACACAAACCTCCAAAACTCTGCCCAGAAACATGAACATTTGTTGTATTCTGCTCTTTACTTTGTATATTGATGTTGACAATACTGCGTGTAAATTTGTCAAACATCGACTTTGACAAGCATTTATGTAGTTTCTTTCGACAGTTAGTTTCAGTGTGACAACTTGATACGTACGTACATCAGTTCAAGTTAAGATATCACATTAGCATAGCGAGAATAAATTGTAGCGTAGAAGAGATAGTAACAGTATTAGTGATTATGGAAATATCCAAGTGATCAAAACTACAGTTCAAGAAAATATAAACCAATTAAAATCAATCTTTAAAACAAAGAAAAATAAGCCATAAGGAATTGTGAGGTTTAGAATTCAAAGAAAGATAACGAATTGAATGCAATCGTGCATCATTTCAAATCATTTTGAACCAAATCATTCATATTCTCTAACTATTGTTTAAAATTATCATCTGGACTCTCTTCAGGCAGTAGCTTGCTTCGATTATGATGGCTCTGTTCAATTGTCAATGACTTCATGAACTAGTGCCATTATTTTCGTTAAGAAATATCATAATTCTTTTTTGTTTCATAACTGACAACTTGCTGAAGAATCTCAGATAATTTGAAATTGGCATACTCCATTCGACTTTTAGTCTCAATAGAATGTATATGTGTAAACTAATCAACCACTTTTGACTAGAAAAGCATCGATAAAGTTATTTATGATTGGAGATTTTTCCTCACATCATTCAACATTTATTCTGTTCGGTAAAACAATAATATTTTAGCCCAAGAGTATTATGGAGATTGATTTTTTGCACTGAAATAATGAATGAACCATTGTAAGACCACCATTGGACACCGGATCACTATTTCGTCCTGGTATGGGGCTCAATGGATGTAGGAAGTACCTACTGAAAATAAATCCGTAGGATGATCAGTGTAGGATTTAATTTGTCCTATAGATGTACTTCTAAAACTGTAAACGCAATATTGGCGAGTACAGAGTTTATGGGAAAGCTATAGTCAGAACAAGACCAATTTTGCTTTAAACTTTATCTGTTTCGACCAATATAGCGTGTCTTATGGAAATGAATAAAACTATGAGTCACATCAATATAATAAGATAATAATGTCCTTCAATTAGTAGGTCATTTACAACAACGAAAGTTTACAGACAAGTCAGATCAGATCATGTGATGGGCGCTTAAACCACAATTTGATTGGTTAGTTATGACATAACTACAATTAGTTATGGAAATAACTAACAATCAGAATTAGACATTAACGCCGTTAGACTCCAATTCACTGGTCCAGAGGTTAGACGTTCGAGTTTCTTTTCAGTAAGAGACTCTTCAGAAGGTCCTGAGTTCGAAACTCGTGGGTAATAGGAATCTTGAATGCGTGATACTAATGATTACTCTCATACAAGGACGAAACGGTCGTCCAGTTATTCCAGAATTTTAATAGTGATCTAACAATAATTCATTCATGATTACAATAATAATCTGAACGAAGTCAATCCTGATCTGTTTTTAATTAATAGTCTATTCTCTTCAAATGTTCATCGATTTACTCCGGTTATATTATCAATGAAATTGTGCAAATTTTCATACTAATAATTCACTGTAATTCACTTGATTGTTTTTATTTACACTAGGTATGATTGTTGGTGCAATGTGTGCTGTAACCGGAGTTCTAACAATTTCCTTGCCAGTCCCAGTAATTGTATCCAATTTCTCAATGTTTTATTCACATACATTGGCCCGATCGAAATTGCCGAAAAAAAGACGACGTATATTACCAGTGGAAGCAATACGACCGAAACATAAAACTAATTTAATTGGAGGCGGCATTGGACATGGATTGATGCGTCAAAGTTACGGTTATACCAATGATACAATTAATTTGAATAATTTAGCCAAAGGTATCATACCTCATATTTCACAACCTATTGCTAAAGCGAAAAATACAGGTATGACATTTTTTTCATGAATATATGACATATGAACAATTGAAGACTACTTAAAACCTGATAGTATTGAGTAACGGTTTTGTCTCAGTTTGAGTACTCTACAGAAGTGCACATTCACGACTGCATACAGGGGAATCGAAAACTCTAAGACCTTTGGTTAAGAAGTTAAGTGTTCATGCATGAAATCCGAGTTACTGTGTTCGATTCCCTTGCTCGAGGTCATGAATGGGTAATGCTGATGAGTCGCATACTGGAATAAATCGACCGTCTAGTACTTTCAGGTTTTCATTAGTGATCTAACGCTGATCGATTCGTGATTTCAATAAAACTCAATCATTTCGATAGCTCTATACTGAATACTTAAAAGTTACTTTTTCATAAAAATAAATAAGAAATTTCTGAAATTTGTTTAGTTCTGATCAGAGTTGTTCCACTCACTTTTGATTAATAGTGTAACACTTGTAATCAGCAGTCACTGAAGGGCGGATATGTTCTAAAATCACAACAAACAAGGTGAGCTTACCAATTCACAGCAAAAGAGAATACGTAGTGGTAGCTACAGCACTCTTTATTTTAAAATTAAATATCGCGGGGTTTGTACAAAAAAGGGGTTGTTTGTTTACCAAAGTCTTATAAGTCATCCTGTAAGTTCAGAGCACGCAGGGCTTGTTTTTCAGCTTCCAAAGCGTTTATGTTTGATCGCCTAGCAATAGAAAGAAAACAGAACGAGTTGGCAACGTCATACATAGTGATTTTGACTTCGTTACAATAGTATATATTCAGTGGAACTCAAAATTGGTGTTATGAGCCAATCAGAAGTGTCTAAATGAGAAGGTCGTTTGACGATGATTAGAAATGTCTTCAATCAGAAATCACCGATCAAGAAATGGATTTATTTTCATAAGAACCTCGAACAAAAAATATATATATGTGTGTCTGTAGACAAGTATTTCTGCATATTATTTCGCTGTGAAATAGATATTCTCTCCTGTTCTTGATTTTCGAGTTAAGTAACCATTTTCAGGGCTTAGCACGTATCGCGATCATATCTCTAATATCGCACATCATAACACGTATCAACAAACTTTTTAAAATAGGCATACAGATGAGTGAAGTTAATTTTGAAGTCAGCATGATGGTTAGTTCAGCATACTGGAGAATTTTTTTTATGTCATGATCAGATCAGCTAGCTAATGGCTTAAACACTGATGCTAATCTGGTTTATTAATCTGTTCAGAGCACTAGACTATTCCATGCAAAATTAAGGTCTGGTCTCGTGATGCAGTCAAGTGGTTTCCATAATGTGTCCTATCCAACTCAAAAGCCTTTCCTAATATTTTCCTAGGAAGAAATCTGGCTTGCTCTCTTCAACAGTAGGATTTTACGGATGATGTCTAGGTCAACTGTAATCCTGATGACCTAAAGCTATAAAGTGAAATAATTTATGATCATATTTTGCATGAATTGATGGAATTAAAAATAATATATATATATTACTAAATTGTTATTTAAGTAGGCTAATTACAAGTGTTTCCATTTATGTTAACAGATAGTTTTTCACATCTCAAAGAAAATTATCCAAATCGACCTAAAGTTTCTAATCAAAATGAATTCCCAGTTAATGAACAGTATAAAAGTACCCTTGGAATACATGCTAGACGTGCAGCAGTAATTCAGGTATCCAATTTATCTTTAGAAAAACTTGACGACAATGATAATGACTGCAATTCACTTGATGATAACTTATCTCGCAGACAATCAACAGAGATATTACGAAAAAGTTGTAAGTTGGAAATATGTTCTGTTTATGAATGTATACGTCAATTACTTGAGTCCTATGTTGATTTGATTATGCTTAATTTGTTCAAAAAAATTCCAGTATATGGTGTGTAGATTGTTGAGTTTCATTGAAAGTATGAATTGATCAATGTTAGACTACTACTGGAAACCTGGAAGCACTGGACAACCGTTCTATCTTAGCACGGAACTCTTCAGAGGTTCGCATCTACAGATGCTTATGTTGCAGTTGGTTACAGGATCTTTGGTGTGGTGCTTGAAAGCTTAACCTCTTGACAAATGAGCCGGAAAAAAATAGTGTTAGTGATCAACTTTGGTGACCGACACCTTTGAATGTCGGACAAGTGTTTCAGAGGTTATGCGTTCGCAAGCGAGATCAGAATTACTAAGTTTGAATGCTGCCTGTGTAGTCATGAGTGTTCACCGTTGACGAGTTCGATACTCGAAAGAAACAGCCCTTCAAGTTTTCAGTGGTGGTTTAACATTGAGCAGTATATGATGTCAATAATAATTCCACCTTTAACCCCTTAGATAATTGATCCATTAGAATTCTCTTTTAAAAAACGTTATCCTCAAGAATGCATTTATAATTTGCTAATGATCGATAATAATTGATGGTTAGAGACCTTGAATGACATGGCTCAAAATCGTTTGCAATGGCGCTGGTGCATTTATTCATTGTGTTCTCTCAAATCCTAATCTTCTGGATTCTTCAACACCTCTAGTTTTGACTTTCTAAACTTTTCTCATTTAATCATACTTCTTGAATAATATCTTCTCATCCTAACCTCTCCGATTACTTCCAATACCTTCACTAACTCTTCTACTATTGGATTTGAAATGACAATTACATCTCTGTGCTGATGTGGTATGGCAACATGAACTGATGTAATTACGTACGAAGTTTTACGTTGCAACTGACTGACTGACTGACTGAATGATAATGTTAGAGGATTGTCCTCCTAGCTGTAAATATTCTACACAAGCTCATACGAAGAGGATAACACATTTTTTAATAGTATGACCAAACACTATTCCCTTGATAGTGCTCATGGTTTTGATGTCTCAATCTCCTTCAAGAACTCAGATTTGCTTAAAGTGAAAAAGATTTAAATTAAATTAATGCATTCAAAAAGAATCCGTTATGTTTGGGATGTTAGCTCCCCAGAACTCGCTTGATAAATATCTTTATTTCTTATTTATTTCGTGGACCGATCAGTTGAGCTTGAGCTCACATTATCCACCAGGAGAATCCTCGACTGTGATTGGTTACTGTGTCATTTTAATATGTTATTTTTGTGACTGTCCTAAGGACATCTCTATAGAGTATAAATAAACGCAATTTGAGTGCTTGGATTAATTGTGTGCTGGCTGGGTGTTTGTAAAAAACAATTTCTACACTATATCAAGACTTCTTGCTGGTACAGTTTGGTCAACGGATCATAGTAGCCTACCTGGACTCTGGTTCACTGTTTTGTTCTCGTTATTCGTCTAGGGTGAAGCCGTAATAGTTTTAAGCAAGTGTAACATTACGCAATAAATAAACTCTGATCATAGGTAAGAACTGCATGAGTAAAGCTCAGTCACATTAAAACAAGGTAACTAATCTGGAAGACATTACAATTAAGTGTTGAAAAAAGACTTTATAGTGTAATTAATTGAAAGAGAAAGACATGTTGATGACATGAAACCAGAGGAAGATTAATAATCAACCTTTAATTGAACATATAAAAATCAAGTTACTCACACATAAAACTCTATTGATGATGACTTCTGTAAAAAAATATCAGAAGATTAGATCTTGTTTGTTCTGTTGATTACTACTTTGAATGATTTCATGACATCGACCTGATTCAATGAACTGAAGAGATGACTATGGTCACATTACTAACTGAGTGGACACATAATTCACTTCATTGTCTTCTTCGTCATTCTCTTTTTAAAAAGTTCATGTGGTCACTTTTTACAAAATATTAGAAATGTTTTTTTTTCTGATATAAAATCTATGTATTGATCATATCAAATCACTAATTATTTCAAAATGTCAAAATTGATAATTTCTGCGCGTCTGAAATATATCATGTGTGTCAGTGACATCAAATGTTAGTCTCACTAATTAAGATCAGAATCATCCCATAGGACTCGAACCCTGTAGTTCTAATGCTTACTGAGAAAGAGTATGACGTTAATGAATTCAGCTTTAATCATCATTGTTTATATGTAGTCAGTTAGTAATCTTACAAATCAACAGTATATAATATATTCCTGTTAAATCATGATGTTCGCGTGAAGCAAGGCAAAGAAGCTGTAGTCAATGATTACTTTCAGACCGGGATAAGAGAACCCATTTAGGTGTGATTATTCAAGGGTGAGATAATACCAGTTAGAGGGACCATTCTTGAACATGTAATCTATTCTGGTCACATCATTAATCCACAGGTTTATTTCAAAGGTTTTTATATAATTAGTTCAAATCTAAGCCTAGATTTTTTTGGTATCTAAATTCTTAAAACATCTGAAACTCTGGTCACAGATAAAATAAACTGACACCTAATAAATATCATATAACTGAGAAAAGCAACCTTTAGTTACTCTCATTTTTTTTAAAATGGAAATTTTCAATTTCGAATAATTAGCTCCATGAGGACGTTTCTCCGAGTTCTAGTGAGAAGTCTTGACCAGTGGAGTTCAACCCTGTTTGGGTGTGAAGCAGTACTCACCAAAAAAAGTGGATGAGGTTGAGAAAGACCGTGAATTGGTCGAAGTTAGACATTGAAACCATTATACCACCACCTCAGGGGTTCAGAGGTTATGCGTTCGCGCTCAATAATCCTGTGAGTAACAGGAGTCGTTGGTGCACACTGCTGATGAGTCCCCCTACCAGGACAAAATGGCCGTCTAGTGTTTCCAGGTTTTTCTAATTTTGGTCTAACAATAATTCATTCATGATTTCAAAAAGTAACCCAACAATCTTCACAACACTTTCATGTAATTTTCAATTATCATTATTATTATTATTGTTTTTATTTCAAATCAAAATTTAGCTATAACTAACTCAAATCAACATCACAATAATTCAAAACGTTCGTCACTACGAACAATCGAAAATTATCGTCGTAAATCAAGTCATTTATCAAATTCTATAGAAAATCATCAACTTCCAAAAAATCTTCATCTTTATGATGATGACCAACAAGAACAACAATTTGATGCATTGATCACTAATCATCATAATCATAGAATAAATTTGTGTAGTTCATGCAATTCCAGATTATTTCCTCAATCACCGTCAATGTTTGAAGAACAATTCAATACTGTACAAAATATCAATACGGATAACAGTCAGAATATTGAACATCGGACAACATACAATATGCAGACGTTTACGGATATTGATAATGTACATTCATTGCCAAGTCCATGGTTATCGCCTACATCACCTGTATCCATTGGACAAAACTATGAACAAGATGATGTGACATGTTAAACAAGACAAAATTGTGGAAATTTTTGAAAAAAAACACAAACAAATAGGAAATAGACAGAAAACAATTAAAAATTGATCATTGAGCATGAAAAACAGAATAGAAGTAGCCTTTTTAATTCGATATGATTTATTTATCGATGTAGTTATTGATTTCATGATGTGAATTATTAATAATAATAATCAGTGACATGAATCATAAATAATTCTTAATGTGTATAAAAATCTGCATTCATTACATCATCATAATATTTGTATAGGTAAAAGGTATTTTTGATTTTTAAAAAAAAATGTAACCCCTAAAAATATAATTTACCAAATAAAAATATTACAATCTATAAAAAATGTGTGTTTGTAACTACTAATGAGAAAAGTTGGTTTGTGTATCTTCAATGAGATACCAGTTTTCGCCGAAACTACCTGTGGATAGCCAAGAGCACAGAGAAACCTCTCTCTCTCTCACTCTCTCTTGAAAGATGTACCCATATGACAAAGCGTATATAGCCACTACTAGATAAGTACTTGTCGTTTTCTTCGTGTGGCTGAAGTGTTATTTACGAAATTCAGAGGATGTAAAACGAATATCTGATCATGACTTAAACTGGATCGGTGGGTACCGAGGATTTACTTAGTGAAGTTGAAAAACCCTGATTCCAAACCAGTGTTTCACAGTATCTCCATTATCTTGAAGGAACGAGTAGCATAAAAAACTGTTACTGGTCATCGGTTGAAACAGGACTGCCTCTCTTCCAACATTTTTTCATTGCCTTGTGTTTAAACCTGTAAATCAAAGGTTGCGAGAGTTGTCCCATGAGGAAATCATCTCGTGCGGTTTGTGCAGTCACACAATACGTCAACACATACATAAATTCATTGATTTGTGTTGTGAGTAAATATTTAGGTAGTCCTTCATCATCAACAATCATGTATTTCTAGTGTAAGAATAGATTTAAATCTCAGTATAGCTGAAGGACTATTTTTATTATTCAAGTGTTCAACAGAACTAAACAGCCAGCAGTAATAGTAATAATATGTATTCTGAAAATAATTGCAAAATGCATGTGAGCTATAATCAGCTTGATATAAATAGTAGTAAACTACACTGAGGATAAATATGTCGTATAAGGTGTCCATCGTAAACATATATATATATATATATATATATATATATATATATATATATATATATATATATATATATATATGACGGACAACTTAAATAGTAGCTAACTTACTGTCCAATTCTATTTACAAGAACTAATCACTTAGTACAGGGTTCATTCATGGAGCAATCAGAACAATACGGATTAATTCGCAGTTTGAATGTAAGATAACAATCTTCATAACTCTTCAATGAAAAATCATGAAAATATGCTCACTGTTAACTAGTTTCGTGAGGAAGTTCTCAGAGTTCATGTGGGAAGCCATGACTAATGGAGTTTAAACTTGTTGGTCGTAGGCAGTAACTACAAAAAGTCAATCGGTGAGGTTGCACGAAATCCTTGGATTGATGAAAGCTGGACTTTGACACCGTTGGATTCAGAAGGTCAGCGTTTGCGCGAGATACCGAACGTACTAAATCAGAGTCCCGTGAGTGGTGGTCATGGATGCTTACTACTAAAGAGTTTCATACTAGGACGAAACTGCCATCTAATCCTCCAAGGTCACTAAGGATGATCTAACAATGAATTGATTCAGATTTTTAATATCAGAAAATTGTTTCTTTCATACTTCTGCCATTAACCGAACGGTATCAATCCTCTATAACTGATGTATACTTGATTTACGCTAACTGATAGTTAGATTTCAACTCCATTAAAGTGAAAAATAAACCTAGTTCAGTTGATAATTAAAAATAATGTACGAACATAATTAATAAGATTAAAAAAATTAAATATTATAACAATTTACTGAATCATGTATTAACGACTCCGTTAATCTTTCTCTTGCTTTTTGTACTCCTTAATTGACTTTTGTATGAAGAGTTTAAACATTTTTAGTTAGACAGTTTCAATGTAGAACTTAGTGCATACGTAAGTGTACATTAGTTCAAGTTGCCAAACACAGAGAGATGAAATTGTCAAGCCACAAATTACATTGTAGGAAACGTAACAACAGTATTACTGCAGATGAGTCCCATATCAGGACGAAACGGCCGTCCAGTGCTTCCAGATTATTAATGGTGGTCTGACAGTGATTGGTTGATTGACTATTTCAAATGTATAAAAACGCAAACCTCCAAACCTCTGCCTGAAATTACTAGTACTAAAAGAAAAGATTAAGTAATCCACGATATGATTCGAGAAATTATACAAACCAGTGAAATAAATAAATAAGACGTTACGAAGAATGAATTAGGATGAAATTCGAGAGCAGACTGATGCATCTGAGTCATTTCAAACAATTTTGAGCCATGCTATTCAGAGCCTTTAACGACTGATAATGTTTATCACACGGACCCCGATCAATAGATCTACACCTATTCCCATGATTTACCTGAATTCTCAATAGCCAGTGTCACATTTTGGTTAGACCGCATCTAGCTTTCTTCCAACCTGTTCCTACGCTAGACAGTACGATCCGTCATTATGGATCGACTTAATTCAGTGTTGACTTTCCCTATTTACAATGAATATTGGTCTATTTTGATGAAAGTTATCAGCATGAACTGATATTTTTTTGAAATACAACTTAAAATCATGTGATATTAAGAAAAATAAGCAGTTTTTCAACAAAATCTTTGTAAAATTAAGACTGATATAACACTTACACGAAATATTTTCTCTTTTCAGATTAATAACTAAAAATATCTCGATGAATTTTCTATGATCTTGTGAAAAGTGACTAGCGAAATCGGTGAAATCTAACTAATGACAGGTATCGATTATAACAATTTATTGGTACCTGTTTAAAATTTAAAAACAAAAGATGAACAGATCTTGAAATTGATTTGGTTAGATACTTTTATTGCTACACTATGGAACAAAATTGAAGCCTAGTGTTAATAACTATTCACTTGTTACATGGAAAACATCAGTTTCGAGAGTAAGAGATTGACAATACTTTACTGATTATTAGCATGAAATGAATGTACGGAATAGAAAAGAATAAGATTTATTTGTTCTGAAAATAAATTATTATCGAAAAGCCAATCTGTAGGCCAAGATGTTGAACGTTTACACAGGAGGCTAAAGATCCTCAATTCTATTCTCCGTTACACTAGATAAATGTTTTGTACTAGTGTAGCCTTTCTCTTCAGTTTATGATCTCAATAAAATTCAACAAACTCCATAACCCACATACTAATAATTCTCGTATGCTCACTAGTAACTAACTTCAAATAGAATTTGCCAGTGCTCTAGTGAGAAATTGTTACTCGCTGAGTTTAACCCTATTAAGTGTGAAGAAAGCACCCATCAAAAGATAATAAGTCACACAAGAATATCTATTGACTAACGTTCGACGTCACCTAAGTAGTCTAGAGGTTAAGCAATCAAGCGCGAGACTAAAAATCTTGGATTTGATTCCCTAAGGTGGTGTGGTAGATACGCACAGCTTCGGGATCTCGCACTTCTATGAAACGGCCATCTAATGCTCCCACATTTATAATGGTTATCTAACATAATATCAGTTTGTTATCCACAATCTTCACCACTGTATGAAACTTGAATTAATACATTATCATTCATGGTAAGGACTAAGCTGGGAAATTACCTTAGCTAGTCCATCCACATGCTGCAACGTTAAGTTCGAACTTCTAATATCAGCCTTCCTATACTACATCACTGAGCTTCAAATGAATATAGTTTTGTATACCCAGTGTTATCCTAGTTGTGTTTGCTTGAATGATGTGTTAAAAAATTAATTCACAAACAAACAACCAATCAGTGCATATGGGTGTTCAAATACCCACAAATTTCATTGGTTAATCTAAGTAAAATATTGACGGCGATTATAAATTCACTTTCTCTAGTATATCTCTAACAAAAACTGGACGTGTATACCAGATACTATCTAGTTCTATCATATTTTAGATGGCCATATTGTATAGATTAATACTTACTAAGCATGTTCTTGAAAATCTGACAATACTTCCAATATCTATCGATCAGTATACTTTAATACAATGAATAAAGGTGAATTATTTCTCATCATAATGATAGGATTACGTGATTTATTACGTAAACTACATCATATGTCATTGGCCTCTTTAAGGACACACAACTGTAAGCAATATAAACAAATTGAACAAATTAACTAAACATTAAGTTCATAAAATGAGCAACCAAGTGTAATAGTTGTTTAGATCATAAATGGCGAATATGGAGAGTATGAACAAGTTTGAATAATCATTCAAGTTTGTTACAAAGCTAACTATTGGTTGTCTCAATAATCCTCACTTGTGATCATCACTATCCCGTTACATAAAGAATCCAAATGAAGACCGATTTCAGAGAAAACTGAACACTCTCAACTTCTTTCTTTCTTCTATTGATTGACAGGATCTGAGGTGAAGCAAGTGGATACAGTGGACAGCTAGGGAAAAACTAACCTTACTCTTTTTTAAACAAAGAAGAAAAAATACAGATGAAGACAGAGAGTATAGAAGCACCTTGTGCAACAATAGGCCTCAACACGCACACAACGAAGAGTTAGATCTCCTGATACAATACAGTGAGTAACGGGTAAATCACACTTGGCGAAGAAGTTTAGGAAGATGCGGAAACCTTTACATATCTGGACAACGCCATTGCTGAAAGAGGTGAATCTAATTCAGATACAAAGACGCGAATTAGCAAAGCTGAAGAAGAAAATCTGCAACTACGTACAATTATCAATCAATAACAAAGTCATCATTTTCAATGCATACATTAAAACGTCGAGAATCACAAAAGCCATCATCCAAAAGATACAGGTGTTTATTACCAGTTATCTATACGAGATTATTTGAATTCATCGACCAGACAACTTGTAATCTTCAATTCGAAGACTTTTAGGAATCATAAATCAATCAGTTATGGCCACCATTAGAAACCTGCAAGCACTGGACAGCCGCTTGGTCTTAGTAAGGGACTTATCAGCAGTGCGCAACAACGATTCCAGCTACTCGCAGGATTCGAGCCCATGACCTTCGGTCTAGTACGCGAAAGCCTAACCTATGAAGGTGTTTTCAAATCACGCGCAAGACCAAAGGTCATGGGCTTGAATACTCCAATTAGCGAGGGTCGTTGATGCACACTGCTGATGAGTGTGATAGTCATTATAAGGTTGCGGAGAATGTAGAGGTTCGATTGAGATGACGAACGGATCAATTTTAGAGTACCATTCGAAACCTGAAAGCAATGAATGACAATTTTGTCCTAGTACACATTAGTTACAAACAGTGATATGTTCACTTCTATTTTTAGAATACACAAATAATGTTCATAATAATCAATAAATGACCGCAGATGATCCTTTCTAAAGGTAAGCCATCAAGACTAGCTTCGTGAGAAAATTCTTGGAGCTTTAACAAGGGGTTGGGATAAGTGAAATTCAACCATGTCAGTTGTGAGTAAGTTACTCAACAAATTTAATAAATAGAGGTCAAGCGACAATGCAAACTAATTGGTTGAAGTTAAATGACAACGTCCTTGGTTGATGGTTCAGTGATCAAGAGGTAAGACGTTTGCTAGCCAGACAGAAAGTTCTATGTACGATATCCTTGTGAACGGTCTTATATACCCGTACTGCTTATGAGTCTCATACAAGAAAGAAACGGCCATCCATTACTTCTTAGTTTTAAATCGTGATCTAACCCTAACCGATTTATGATTTCAGTGAATCGTAACCGATCTCTACAACCTTGTATTGACAATGATCATGTTCTCACTAGTGACTACTTATGAGAAGTTCTCACCAATGGAGCTCATTCATGTCGGATGTGAACTTAATAAAGGATATCGGTGATTATTACTATTGTCATTATATTAAGATTACTATTTTTATAATTATTTATAGTGCTGAATATTGCACGCATATTTTCAATGCATAAATGCATGAATACAATAATAATACATGAATGATAATTGAGTAAATTAGAATGTTATCACATGGCATATTGAACTGGCGCCACATTGTCTATCAATGTATAATGTAGAAAACGAACAAATAACACATTAGACTACTTTTAAATTGGATTAGTAACAAATACCGACACCTAGTTTACAAACATCAATTTGCAGAATTGCAGAATAACAGACAGAAGTTTTCTGTGTCTGTTTTAATAACTCAATCAATCAATCAATCAATCAATCAAACTATGCAAAATGAATTCATTCGTCAATAATTACGTAGTTCCAATCGATATATATTTTTTTCACTCTTACAGATCATATGTCATCATACTGATGAAGTGATTCATTGTCACTGTTGGATTCCAATTGATTTCGGAAAGAGACTGTCACATATTTACGTGACTTATGATATGAACACAAACTGTTACGTCGTTTTATTGAAATGTCAAAAAGAGTAGAGAGTGATAGACAATAGATGGAAAGCGTGATAGGAGATAGCAATTACTCTAGAGTAAATCTTATTCTCAACGAACGAACTCTGGCCAACTCGAAACCGATCAGAATCAATGGATGTCACTGTCAAATATAAGATAACTGAGTTGATTGTATTTCAGATTTCTTGATCCATAGAATCAGGTGACAAGTGGAAATTGCGGTACAGCCAATCATTGACAGCTAAATCAGGTGATAGACATAAAAATACCAATTAGATTTACATTTAAGCACCAGAATCCATAGATCAGCTCTAAAATCTTATTGGTCTACATTTAGATAGCTTTGTTCTTTCTCTACTGCCTGTCTCTTTGTCAAGAAGTCAGTACGTAGTCAATCTCTACGAAACTTGTAGTATTTCAAGCAGATGTTGTTTGTAAACACAAAAAAATATTACTAGACCAAAAGACTATGAATAGAGAATCAATTAATGACTAACCAATACAAATAACTAAAATGTTATCTTGATAGTATACAAGGTTAACTCTTGATGAAGATCATTCTCAGTTTATTTAATGAATATTCAGTGGAGATTTCGAATTGGGATTTGTGAGATTTGAATGTTTGATTTCAAACTACTAACCTCTTCTCTTCTCTCTCGTTCTCTAACAATCGTATATACATCAGTTATGAGTGTAAGAGAAGATATGCAAAGAAAAAAAATCAACTTTATTCCTAAAATTGTCAACAGCTGTCAATGATGAATGCCCTGGGCTCAAATTCTGTGAGTAACAGGAGTTGTGGACGCGCACTGCTGATGAGCTCCACACTAGGATGAAGCGGCCGTCCGGTGCTTCCATGTTCCTGATAGTGATCTGACAATAATTCTTCCATGATTTCAAGGTAATATTGTTATCAGATTTTTAGAAAAAATGAGTGTACATTAGTAAAGTGACAATTTACCAGCCAAAAATAAGTGTCTACACCTTCATTTCAGATTTTCACTTGTGAGACAATCACATTATTGGTTAATTTGCTTTCATTATGTCTTTTAATCTTCAACAAAAAAGCAATTCGTATCCAATACTCTTCTCTCTTGTATACTGTAACCTTTAGACGATAATCTAGTGAATACAACTCATAAGTCACAGATTGAAAGTGCTCTGATAAGCTTGTTTTCTGTTTGAAATGTATTCTTACTGATAATACAGTAAGTGGTTTTAAGGTACAAGACAGTTAGGTATACAAAATTTTTTCTAAATAAAAAAAAACATTACAATGTACCACGTGATACAAGGATTTTCTCATAGTCATCACTTGTTTAACAAGTATTTCTTGCTTATCACCAAATATATCATGTGTTTTCAATGCATATTTAACTTGCATATATATATATATATATATATATATATATATATATATATATCATTCCTAAAAAGTTTATGCTTAATGATACATATTTTCAATGGTATTAAAGTTTCAAAACTTTGTAAAGTAAGTAGTTTTGGGATTTGCTTTATTTCAGTCTATCATTTTATACTAATACATGTGAGTGAAGATTATTTTTTTTGATTTCAATGCTTAATAAAATACTATGAGTATAATACTAGTCACATAAATTATCAATCAGTGAGTAAGTAGGTGATAGAAAACAAAACAGAAAATATATGTCTTATTTATCATAAACACCCAAAATCATCAATTAGTCATTGTTAGACAATTAATGGATAGAAACACTGAAACACTAATTGGTCGCTTTGTATTTGGGAACTCATCAGTAGTGCGTATCCACGACTCCAGCTACTCGCTTGAATCGAACCCAGGAACTTCGATCTACGCTCTCGAATGCTTAAGCTCGAAATCACTGAGCTGGCATCCAACGATGTTAATGTCTAACTTTGATTATTAGTATGTACATTTTCAACACTGAAATAGTTTGTTGCTTCAAAGAAGTTAAATGATTGGTTATTTAAAACAATACTGTTTTGTATTATTTCTTTTAAATGTACAGGTAGTAGGTACTACACTACACTACACTACTACAATTAAAATATAACTATTATTATGGCGTGATTAAAACTAATGGATAAGCCAATCATATTTAAGATAGCATGTATCGGATTTTGGCGCGAAATTTATTCATCCATATATAATGAAATGACATTTTGGCATTATAGCTGACGTCAGTTAGTAAAAAAAATCCGTAATTCGACTTGTTAACGTTTACATCTAAATCCTAATCCTCTTTTAATTCTAGTAGATGGATATTCTCAAGGTCACAACAGTATCGCTCAAAGGTCACCCATAAAATGATAATATGAATTTTTATTTGGCCATTTTAATGTGGTGACTGACAATTCATAAATGTGAAGATTGGTGATAATTTAAAGTTTACTTTCAATATGACTACACTTTCTGATTTTTGCTTTGAAATACATATTTACTGATCTCTTTATTAAGATATCAAAATGTCATAAGTGTATATATCATTCACATGTTTAAACTGTAATAAAGTTACGTTCTCTGAACTGGATGTTTCGGTTGTGGAGTTTTTATTGTTCTTCTGAACAACATTATCAGCACAAACTTCAGACAGTAGTGAAGTATTCGAATTTCTCCATATTTATGACTTTCTAGCTGGTTTTGCTGACCTCCAGCATGATAGGTTTTTATTGACCTTGAACCTGTTGTTGTCTGCACCTTGATTTTGATTTTCCACCTCTATTATCTGTCTCTTGATCTTATGTTTGTTTATGATTTTTTGATAAATTGGGTCATTGTTGATGTGTTTGTTGACTGCTAATTGATTCGAGTACCATGCTTCTAAAAAATTTTCTAGTGTTCTTTGTTCCAATCGAATTTATGTCCGTAGTCATCCGTATCTATTGATATAAGAGAAGAAATGTCATGGTATTTGACTGGTAATTGATTTACACTAAGACGAAATTGAAGAGGACGTTCACTTTGTCCTACATAGTGTTTTTCCAATATATCGATCATCATGTCAAACTATTACCTACGAATTTAGAAACTATGAGGAAACGATAATTTAGTTCTCTTGTATGTGGGATTTTATTTCAGGACCGAAGCATTATTCCCTCAATTTTTAAACTGCCTATAGATATTGGTTTCCTGAAATACTTTAAGTCATGATTAGTTTGTCGCTTACTTATAAACGCCGGTAATAATCGTTCTGTTGTTATGAAAGTGGACGAAACATCAGTTATCACAGTCTTCGCTTTTTCTTTAAGTTCAGAATGACACTCTTCTGCAAATTCACTTCATACTACTTATAAGCGTCGACCTAAGTAGTACACACCACACTATCATTATAACATTCAATATGGAATATAGAATTTCAAGACATGTAAAGTATACTACTATAGTATATTATTGTTTACTCATAAATGTCTGACTGAATGCTTGAAGAGAAAAAAAAACAACTCATAATCATGGCAATCATTTTTGTTAATATATATATATTTAGATATATATTTATTCATAGTATACTTGAAGTATTTAAAGAAGTCTAACTGTTGATTGTCCAATGCTCTGTTTCATTTAAACAAATGAATATATAGATTCAATCAAAACATACTACTTAAATAAATAAAAATAAATATTTTCATGAAATTTCATGTGATTGAATGATCACTTGTAGTAAAACAATGAAATAAACAAGCAGACGAAAGAGTGAGAGTGAGAGAGAGATGGAAAGAGAGAGTTAGAGAAGAGGAATGCGGAATAATGTTTATTTGTGTTCACAATAACTAACGTCATTTTTATATGGAGAAAAAATAAATTAACGAAAACAAATTGTTTTTTTTGCAAAAATTACTCAACTACAGTTTTTTTTCACATTGTAAACCAACCAATTGGTTAAAATTTAAGGTGATATTTCTTTATCTCTCTCTCACTCACTATGTGTTTATGAAAAATTTTTCAACTGTATATTAAACTGATTCGAAAATAATCGTTTAAATTGGTCATTCTGTTTTGTGAAAATTTTGTTTTACATAAAATGATGTTTTGAGAAAAGTTGAATCAAATTCATTAATCAACGTTTTTTTGTCAAGGATATTTATTTATATTCACAGGTAATCTTTTCTTAGAAATGATTCATTTAAGTCACACAATTTTGTTTTAATGTACTAGTATTATATTACATGTTACCGTATTTTTAGTACAGCGTACGTCTTTATCTTGTTGAGAGAGAGAGTTTCGTTTTGTAAGCTGAATGGTTAAATCATGGAGTTTTTATTGTTTTTTCTTAAATCACATCATCAGTAGCAGCATAAAGTTCACGGTAGAAGTGAAATGTTCGAATTTCACTACACATGATGCTCAGCTTGTCCTGTTGACCTCGATCTTCTATTATATCAACAATACATGTGGAAAGCTGAGGGTACCCGGTCGACTGGAAAGATATGGAAATCTTCGACAAAGGGATTACCAAGAACATCAGAGAATTTTTAGATGAATTTTTAGATAATGACCCAGTTTATCAACCAATCAGAAAAATCATAGACCAATATGGGACCAAGGATCAGACCTGAGAGGAGGGGCTAAATGTAGATAATGGTAGTTTGAAGGCTTACAAAATTCCAATCAAGATGGAAGTCGATAGGACAAGTTGCAAATCATATGTGGAGAAATTCAAATAGTGAGCTTCTATCTTTACTGATAATGTTGTTCAGACGAAAGATGTAAGCTTCCGGATCAAATTATTCGGCTCACAGAACGAAACTCAGCCATTGTATATTTGTGCGTAAAATTCATCTTTAAATGTGACTTGATGTCGTCTTTGTAACCGAATTCATTTCTTATTTGCTTATAACGTATTTTCATGTATTTTTTTAATGCGATAAACTACGTTTTAATTGAAATTATGCTGGACTATCACTTACTAACCTGGAAGCACTGGACGGCCGTTTCGTCCTGGCATGAGACTCGTCAGTAATGCTCATCCACGACTCACACAAGACGAAATCGAACCCAAGACCTAGGTTGCGACGCCCAAATTCTTAACCTCTAGACCATTGAGCCGGCCTCCAACAGTGGCAATGTCTAATTTTAATCAATCCAAAGTTATGTGCAACCACACTCATTCAATTCTAATGGCGATCTAACAATGATAGGTTTATGATTTTAATGAAACTCAACAATTTCTGCAACCTTATAGTGATAATAACATTTCAAATCGAACCAAAATTCAGGGTTTTTTTATTGTGAGCTTGCTTATAACAATATAGTACGTTGTTTATGATAACTGATCAATATAGTTTGTTTCGTTAGCTAAGTTTTTAGTTCAATTATCACTGAAAACTCGAAATCACTGAACAAACGTTTCATCCTAATATACGTCTCCTTAAAAGAGTGAATTGATGATACAAACAACGATGAAATCACTGGTCTTCAAGTCTTTAGCTAAACTCTCAACTTTTCAGTCATTCAGATGATTGTAAATTAGTTTGCATTTCTATCTGCAATCAATTCACAATGTCGAATGACCATCTTCTAATTACATAGGTGGATATATGCTTGACAGTGGATATGTCGAAATCTCAATTAAGTCACTGGGTGCTAGTTCATTGATCGAAACATTTAACTCTAGTCACAAAACCTTAAAGTCATGGATTCCATACCCGGTATGGTCGCTGACACACTGCTCTAAGGAGATGTATACTAGGATGAAACATCTATCCAGAGCTTCCAGATTTTTAATACTTGTCTAACTAATAACGGTTTCCACAAAATTTTTATACTAATTTACTGAACACTGAGCATTGAATAATGTCACGCTCATTAACCGCTTTTTTGCTCATTAAATTATATTGATCAAGTTGTAGTGTTTTTACCAGTCTCAATTACTCAATATCCCATACACTGAATTGGGAAGTAAGATATTTTAGAGATGGTCATCAGACTGTTATGTTTAATTTAGCTTTTGTGTAAGTTGTCACATCGGAAAAACATGTCTTCAATCTTTGTGGGAACTGATAATCTCTAAAGGTTTTGAATCTGCGTCAGTCGTTTGTTGACCATCAAAACATCATGAGATGCTTCAAAAATGCATTTTTTTTCATATTAACAGTTAGGAAAGTATCACTCAAAGTATGGTTAAATTACTCAAAATTGACTGGTCACTACTCAGTGTTCAATTAATGATAGATAAATATCAGTCATACAAGGAATCAATTGAGACTCCAATAGTTTAGAGGTAATCTCTATGAATGTAAACCTGGATGATGGAGGGTTAAATACGCTGGTAAGCCTCAGTTCCCTGAAGAATACAGACACACTTAGCTAACAAGTGCCTAGACCCACAGTTCCTAGTCGATCACCGTCTTGTCTGAATCAATGTTTATTTTAAGCGTTTGAAAAAGGACTCTAGATTGAAACAGAATACACAAACCAGAGATCTCATTTCTGTCAGCGGTAGATTTATTCGGTTGCTTAATAATGACCTCTTGGTAGCCTGTACAGCATATTTT